AATTCAGGAGATTATAAAAAATCCTTCATTTTATGTAAAGACCCTCTTGATTCAAGAGAAAACTCCAGTTTTTTTAAAAATGGCTGCTTATTAATTATTTGTTAATCAATCTATAAGATACATTAACTTCAGATTAATTCATTATCAATAACTTGCATCCTTAAGGAGTTAGCTTAAATTATATCCACTCATATTCATGTAATTAAGTGTTTTAATGATTTGGCCGATTAATCGAAAAAATAATCAACCGATTAATCGATTATTAAAATAATCGTTAGTTGCAGCCCTAGAAAATATGGAACAATAAGATCTTTAATATGAGAACTTGGTTGTTGAGAGCTTTGTATGTTAGGAGTAATATTTTAAACTCTATTCTAAATCTGACAGGGAGCCAGTGGAGAGAAGCTAAAACTGGAGAAATGTGATCTCTCCTTCCAACTCTCATTAAAACTCTAGCAGCAGCATTTTGGATTAACTGAAGGCTTTTTAGAGAGTTGTTTTTTGACACCCATAAAGAATTACAACAGTCCAGTCTCGAAGTGATAAATGTATGGAAAGGTTTTTCTGCGTCAGTTTGGGACAGTGTATTTCTTATTTTTATTGATATTGTTCACTTGGAAGAAAGCAGTCCTGGTTGCACTTTTAGTGTGTGGGTTAAATGACATCCTGATGAAAAATAACACCAAGGTTCTTTATGTTTGGCCAAATTAATCCCATTTAGAGAACAGATGGTGCAAAGTTTGTTCCTTGAATGATCTTCATTGTGACCTTTGTCCGAATGTTCATGGTTCTGTAGGTCCCTTCTGGATTTGCATGACACTGGTGTTCTCGGTAGCAATCAGTGGGAACTTGTCCACCTTCTTGCGTCAGATGGGAAACTCCAGCTACCACTACAGACCACAGTTCCACAGAGGTCAGTCCTGTTTTACCTGGATGTCCTGGTTGCTGCTGCAGCTTGTTGAATTTGTTGTTTGTCTGCAGTCACCATAGCTGCAATTGCGATCTTCCTGTATGCCTGGCTGGTGCCAGTTGGTTTGTGGGCTTTTCTGACCTGGAGGCAAGGGGCTGAGAGGCAGATCGGAGGCTACTCCTTCCTAGAGACTGTGTGTGTTTATGGCTACTCCCTCTTCATCTTCATCCCCACATCAGTGAGTATCAAAGTTTCTATTCCTCTTCCCAGAGAATCTCCATTATGGGCAACGTAGTTCTACAATCTGATGAGCCTATTACAGGAATTTCTGTTGTTCAAGTTGGAGTAAATTATACCAATGTGTTTGAACTCTAATTAAGCCAGTCACTGACTCGTCATTTTCCACTTGGTTTTTGGGGTCAGAAATCAAAAACTAAAAATCTATATTCCTCTTCTCATCAAGAATGTTTGAACTTGGGTTAAGTAAGGAAGTAATGAAGTGGATAATGGATTGGTTCACTTTGAGAAGCTGCTAGATGCAGTCTTCCTTTCATGAAGATGAATCCCTGGCATAAGCTCACGAGGCGATGGCGGTGTTTCAGTTCATGGGTTACAGCTGACGCAGACCACGGTCGATGTTGGCCTCAGTCTACGTGGGCCGTAGGCCGCTCGTGTCGGCTGCATAAACGGCTGTGAAATGCGACGGTCCAGTCTACAGAAGTTATGTTTGCGTGACCATGTGCTGCCTCATTAAAGGGATCCATGATTAGTTGTAACTTTAGACTTTATTTGATAAATAATATTTTAACTGTAAAATAAAGACTGTAAAAATAC